TGGCTGGCCTTAATGCTCCACTTGATATATAAATTTAATTTTATTAGAATATGCTTTGGGTTTGTTTCAGATGTAATGGACACGGGGACGGAAAACAAAGAAGATAACAAAGCAGAAAAGTGAGAGAAGAGTTAAATGTAAAGAAGGAGATAGGAATAGAGGAGAGAGATAGGGATAAAGAGAACACAAATCAACATCATTGAAGTCTGCCTCTAGACCTGCGGAAAGAGAGAAAAAATTTGATGGCCACCACAACCCAACTGAGTGTGTATCTGATAAACACCTGAATCTAAACACCTGTGCGAGCATGCTTATCACTATAAGGTTTCTCATAAAAATGTTCAATAGTGGATGTGGGGACCCATAAACCCGTCCCCGTAGGACACAAAGGTAACACAGGGAAGCCCGGAACCACAGACACACAGCGGCCCCCAAGCCCGGAACTCCGGTAGTCCCCCAACAGGGACACCTGCACCCCCCAGAGAGAGAAGCAAAGGGAAGCCCCGGGTGATCCCCAGCAACCACAATGCAGAAACCCCCAGGAGGCCGTAGCGACGAGTCAACAAGCCCCGCCGGCAACCTGCCCCTCCAGAGTGGATCCGGCCATGGACACCAAGCCCCGAGGTCATACCACCCCCCAACAGAGGCCCGACAGAGCCAGGGCACCCAGGCCCCCGCAGGCAGCCACCAGGGCGGGCCTGCACATACCCCACCACCCAGCCCCAGATGCTGAGAGCTGCAAATGCACCGGCGGCAGGGGGGCCCACCACCAGGAGGGAGTACGACCCACCAAATGGGGGGCCAAAACTGGTTGGGTTGTGGTGGCCATCAAATAAATATTGTATTACCATGTACTGTATAAAATACTTTCTAATGATGTTATAAGTATCATTATATAAGTTGTTTGTTGTTGTTGTGGTTTCTCGGTTTTGTCTTTTTTTTTTTTTCTTTCCGCAGGTCTAGAGGCAGACTTCAATGATGTTGATTTGTCTTTATCCCTCTCTCTCTCCTCTATTCCTATCTCCTTCTTTACATTTTAACTCTTCTTTCACTTTTCTGCAAAAAAAAAAACCAGTGTGGAATTAAAGGAAATCTAGGTGAAATGCTGCTTTTTTGTACACTAGTGTAGCCTACACTTTTTTTATGTGCGCCCACACATGCATGTGCGAACACACGTGCGTGCGCACGCACACACGTACACACATCATTGCGTCCCCCCACATTACGGATGCTTCTGATGCCCTTGTGTGTGTGTGTGTGTGTGTGTGTGTGTGTGTGTGTGTGTGTGTGT